CGATTCTCTTAATGTGTTTCACTTTGTTGCTGTCAAAAGACATATCTGAGTTTTTCGAAAACAGACTAATGGACCAATCTCTCCGCAGTAACACAGTGACATTAAGGAGTAATTCCAAAAATCATTAATCTGTCATGTAGTATGTGTCTGGATGGGATGTGATGGTGTGTAGTATTTGATATTGTCTCAGCCTGCGTACATGTTTCCAGTTGACGATTCACTGCGGCTGGATAGGTTGTCGGCTTAAATGAATAATCTTCCGGAGTTAACCTGAAACTCATCCACACCACTGAAGCTAGACCAATGCATGAAAACTATCACTTTCCCTCCTAGGTGGGAACTACAGAAAAAAAGGAATGGCATATTTTCAACATTTCTTACTTTGTAACCGTTCTCACTGGCAGAGCGAGTGAGGGGGTGTGGTGGCACGTGCCCCCCCCAATGATCCGATCGAAATTAGGGATTTCGACCCCCACTGCCACTGTGTAGCATATTATTACGTGCCAGGGACTCTATGAGATGATAGGACAATAGTCTGAGTCCATAATTGGCAATAAGTAACGGCAAAGCAGTTATACGTGACTCAGAATTGTGTGCAGTTGCGTATACAGTACACGACTTCCCATACCTTCAGCGAACGCGATGCAGATCACACGCGGTTCGAATTAGACCCTCGATTGATGGCTGTGCCATCGCCGTACAAGCGTCGAATAAACAGCAAGGGACAAGTCCTTACTTACTATCATTTTTCATTGCTGGAGGGGTTGCCCCCCTACCTGAAAATCCTGGCTTCGCCATTGACCGTTCTCCACATCATTACTAAAAGAAACAGCAAAATTGTATATTTTTTTCTGTAAATGTGTTGGCTGCACTTTTGCTTCAAAGGAAAATTGTGACAATGACAGAAGTGAAGCCCCATGTCATAGTAACATTACAACCTGTGGTAACGAATATTGCTGCCGCTGGAACTCTTAATACAATAGAATAATCACGAAAAACATTGAAATCCAACTGCATCTCAACAACAATAACACCAACCCTAACAATGATTTAATTAGTATAGTTCAACGTCATTGGTCCAGGGGTAGGTTTTTTACTGCATTTGTTGTCTTCCTAATGTACTACTAATGGGATGCTATGAGATGAAAAACTATAGTGGGAACTCACACAGTGAGCAGTGCACCACCTGTTAGAAAATGCCCCCATAAGAGAATGTCACAAAACTACTTCTGCAGTCCCTTCGATAAGCATAATTATCCACACGATGAACATGCCTATATGTTCAGCAGTATTCAATGAATATACATGAACTGAAATACGTTGAAGTGACATGCATTGAAACTGTATTATGCACTTTTGTGAAGTGATTGGTGACATCAACTATCTGCACTTGGGAACTTGGTTTTATCATCGGCATTTGAAACACAAATTTAAATCCAAGACCTCAACAGTTCTGGCTCAGTGTTCTGAAACCCGAGCCACCCGCTGGGCCAGGGTTGTTAACAGCCAACATACATCTTTGGGGCCGGACTTGTCAGCACACAAATTGTAGTCCTTTGGGGGAGGTTTGTCAATACCCACAGGGGTGCTATATGACCAGCTTGCTACCATCCAACAGGTACTACTGGAACAGCTTTGTTAACATGTAAGTGTAACCCCAATGGGTCATGGTTCGGTAACACACGCTCAATCCCATTGAACCAGGAAGGTTAACATCCAATGAACTGCTATAGGCCAGGCTTGGAAATGCCTAATAAATGTTATAGAGCCAGGTGTGCAAATACCCATAAAACTATATAGGGTCAAACCTGTTTACATCAGTGGAATTTTATAGTGACGGGGTTTTTAACACCCAATAGGATTTAATAGGTGCACAATTATGCTTGTCAACAGCAAAAGGGGGTGGTACAGGGACAGCCTTGTAAACATGCAAATGAAATACGATTAGGGCATGGCCATTAACAATGGGACTACATATAACCATACTTGTTAAATGCAATGGAATTTCCCAGGGAAGGTTAATGTACAATGGGATTCTATTCCACAACCCTTCTTAATATGCAGAATCATTCCCATATAAGGCCCAGGTATACCCAAAGGGATTTCATTGGCAATGATTTGTAAACACCTAATGTGACTGGACAAGGGTTGCCTTTGTCATCTGGCAAAAAACGTGGAGGATTGAAAAGCAACCCTTGGATAATCACATGAGGTGTAATTACATTCGCTGTTAACAGGGCCCTATATGGGAATTAATCTGCATGATAACCCTCCACTTTATCCCCATGAGAGCAGACTTGCCAATAGCTCCCTTAGGCTTCATGTCTGTTAACACCCCACGTGATTTTATAACTAGTGAAACGGCTCATTATGATTTCATAAGGCTAGATTTTAGACATCGCATGGTAATACAGTATACAGGGTCTGGTTTATTAACATGCACATTTAGTCCTAATATGGCGAGGCCCTGTTAACGCCCAATATAATTACATAGGAGCTGGCTTGCGAACACCAAACAGAATTCGAAAAGGGACCGACGCATATTCATTCCCAATGGGTGAGTCGTGTTGGTAACACTCCAATGGGATTGCAGGGTCATTAGGGGTCACGCTCCTCGTCTGTCCAGGCACCACGTGCACGAGGAGCACGTGGTGCCCGACGCAGTTTCCCGCGCAACGCGCGCGCCACGGAGACCGCCCCCTCATTGGTCCATCCCACACACCCCCTCCCACACACCCCTCCCCCCACACACCCCCTCCTCTCACACACACAATCTCCCCTCCCCTCCCACACACCCCCTCCCCCCACACACCCCCTCCCACACACCCCCTCCCACACACCCCCTCCCCCCACACCCCCTCCCCCCACACACCCCCTCCCACACACCCCATCCCACACACCCCCTCCCCCCACACACCCCCTCCCCCCACACACCCCCTCCCACACACCCCCTCCCCCCACACACCCCCTCCCCCCACACACCCCCTCCCACACACCCCCTCCCCCCACACACCCCCTCCCCCCACACACCCCCTCCCACACACCCCATCCCACACACCCCCTCCCACACACCCCCTCCCCCCACACACCCCCTCCCCCCACACACCCCCTCCCACACACCCCCTCCCCCACACACCCCCTCCCCCCACACACCCTCTCCCCCCACACACCCCCTCCCACACACCCCTCCCCTCCACACACCCCCTCCCCTCCCACACACCCCTCCCCACCCACACACCCCCTCCCACACACCCCCTCCCACACCCCCTCCCCTCCCACACACCCCCTCCCACACACCCCCTCCCACACCCCCTCCCCTCCCACACACCCCCTCCCACACACCCCCTCCCACACACCCCCTCCCCCCACACCCCATCCCAAAGACCCCCCACCCCCCCGTATAGTATGAACAGACTATTGTGGCAAGTGGCTGTGATAGCGCACCGATGAAGGCCGGGGACAGCACACGCGAGGCGGTGGGTGGCCTGCACCACGCCCGACCGCCTGCCAGACACACGGGCCCTCCCCTCCCACACGCCCTTCCCCGCACTTGGCCCCTCCACTGCGACCTCCCTTAAAGCCCCTCCACACCATGGACCCCCCGCAGCTTCCCCACTCCGCTCCCTCCCACGGGTCCGCTCCTGCCCGACGCAATCTACCCCCGTCAGCCCCCCCCCTCCCCACTGAGCCCCCCCACACCGCTTCGTATCCAACGTGTCAGGGTGGATGGCGGTGGATGGAGGGGGGAAGATATCTAAATAATTAAATAATGCGCCGCTTGAAATGGCCGCGCGCTCGCGTCCATGCGGGAAGGTCGCGCGGTAGCACTCGGGGGGGGGGGGTAGTTGGTGGGGGGGTAGTTGGTGGGGGGGGGTAGTTGGTGGGGGGGGGTAGTTGGTGGGGGTAGTTGGTGGGGGGGGGGGTAGTTGGTGGGGGGGGGTAGTTGGTGGGGGGGGGGGGTAGTTGGTGGGGGGGGGTAGTTGGTGGGGGGGGGGGTAGTTGGTGGGGGGGGGGTAGTTGGTGGGGGGGGTAGTTGGTGGGGGAGGCAGGGGGGGGTAGTTGGTGGGGGGGGGGGGGAAGAGGAGGCAGGGGGGGTAGTTTGGGGGGAAGAAGGGGAGGCAGGGGGGGTAGTTGAGGGGGAGGCAGGGGGGGTATTTTGGGGGGGGGGAAGGGGAGGCAGGGGGGGGGGGTAGTTGGGGGGGGGAAGGGGAGGCAGGGGGGGGTAGTTGGGGGGGTAGTTGAGGGGGAGGCAGGGGGGGTAGTTTGGGGGGGGGGAAGGGGAGGCAGGGGGGGGGGTAAGTTGGGGGGAGGAAGGGGAGGCAGGGGGGGGTAGTTGGGGGGGTAGTTGAGGGGGAGGCAGGGGGGGTAGTTTGGGGGGGGGGAAGGGGAGGCAGGGGGGGGGGTAAGTTGGGGGGAGGAAGGGGAGGCAGGGGGGGGTAGTTGGGGGGGTAGTTGAGGGGGAGGCAGGGGGGGTAGTTTGGGGGGGGGGAAGGGGAGGCAGGGGGGGGGGTAGTTTGGGGGGGGAGCTAGGGGAGGCAGGGGGGTGGGGGAGGAGGTGTGAAGGACGGGGGGGGGGTCTGGGTCGCTGGGGTCCCGGTTGGGGTCCCCCCCCACCCCCACTGCTACCACACACGGACGATGCCCGCCCCCCACTCCTGACAATGAACAACTTGACAATGAACTCTTGAGAGAGAGAGAGAGAAGGGGGGCAGCAGCGCTGCCGCCCCCCTCTCGCCACATTCCTACTCCCCAACCTCAACACAACCAGCAAACACAACCGAGGCAACAACAACAGCAGCAGCCGCCGCGGCTCCCACCGCCATCACCACAGAGGCCTGAGGAGGAGGCGGCTGCGATGGGCCCAGGGCTCGAGGCGCCGCGCTCATCACAGGGCAACACGCCGTGAGGGGGGTATGGGGGGTACATTCCGTGAAATACCGAACGTTTACGAGGGGAATTTTAACCGAGAAAAAAACCAAGGGAATAAACCGCGAACTCACCGAGACACAACGTCGAGGGGCGAAGTTAGAAACGCGAAGGATATTTGCGAAGTTTAGAATAAGATCGCCTTTGCACGGCGCTGTGTAGCTTCTAACGCCTCATTTGCATATTCGTTACGCCTCTGCTGATTGGATGGCGCTTTGGGCGTACGCTATGATTTTTTTTACAGAGTAATGCAGGTTTAAGTGGACGATTTCTGGGGGTGTCATGCATCGTGCGTTGTGTTTTATTCGTTTTTTTGTGTGTGTGGGGGGGGAAGGGGTTGATGTTTAATTTTTTTTTCTACTTTTTAAAGGGCGCGGCGCGCGGCATTTTATTTTGTGCGGAATCCTTCGTGCCGGGCAGCGTTCCCCGTCACGCGCAACCGTCTGGCCGCGTGACGTCACGCGCCGCATAAATTATGTTAATGAGAGGACCCCGGAAGAGAATGCCGGACGCGCGATTCAGGCCCCGGATGCACCACCGTTGGAACCGCATAAATTATGTTAATGAGAGGACCCCGGAAGAGAATCCCGGACGCGCAATTCAGGCCCCGGATGCACCACCGTTGGAACCGCATAAATTATGTTAATTAGAGGGGAGCACAGATTAAAATTTTAAATATTAATTTAAAACGCTGTATGAAAAGCTCCGAGGCTATTACAAATTGTTAATTCGTTATTGCAAAAAAAATCCCGGATATGGGCGAATTAATACATTGCACATAAATTATGGTAAATACACCTACTGGAATTTTGGGCATAAATTACGTATGTTAGTTTCCGGATATTGAATGAATGTGCGCCAAAAAAGTCACCCGACAGGCACATAAATTATGCTAAACGTTCGCGACGAAATATCCGCATATATTATGTTAAATTTGCGCCCGATTATCTTGCATTTACTTTTTGGACGTCAATTACGTTAAGTATGTTAGCTTCCGGGTATTATAAGGCCTGAATACACGTGGTGCATCAATTGTGGTGGCATAATACACGCCGCAATAAAATAACCGGACGGACGCATACATTATGTTAATATAGCTAGCGTCCACGTCTGTCAGCGGTGTGCATATATTATGTTAATTAACCTACTATTTACGTTTTGGACAAAAATTACGTATGTTAGCATCTGGTAATCGAAAGGACCGAATGCACCGTGGCGCATGAATTGTGCTCGCACGACAGTGTACCCCGTCAATCAGTTAACCCGAAATGCGCATAAATTATGTTAATTATGCTTGACATTTGACAGTGCTTCCGGGAATGCGCGCGCAGCCCACGTTCGTCTGCACGAGGCCTCCCCTCGCCCGCCGCCTCGTGGCGGTTCGCACGTTTCACATTTCAACCCACAACCCGGCGCGGGTCACGCGGTGCTACGCGCCACGTGGGCCATTCTGGGATGGGACATCGAACGAAAAGTCATCGATATATTTTAGGGGCCGTCCATAAATGACGTCAAGCGATTTTTTTACAACCCCCTCGTCACACGGCGTCACAAAGTCAGACCACACCCTCAAATATGATGTCACAAAGCTCTGCCCCCCCCCCCCAAAAAAACATTCTTGAAATCGCTTTAAACTATTGCCATTGTAGTGCGTATTTAATGTGGCGCTGCACTCTGATGTTGTAGGAGAAAACATTAAAAAGTTTATTTAATTAAGTAGAACGTGTTTATATTTATTTAAAGTTGCGCATTTTGATGTGACGTCACATTCCTCAACCCCCCCCCGTCAGACATCCTCACAAATGTCTGACCCCCCCCCCCCCCCCAGACAAAAAAAAAATCTAAATTTGAAAACTAATTTCCTGCCTAAAATATCAAAAATTCACTAACACATAGGATGGACTTTTTCTTTATTTTTTACAATGTGTATTGTATTATATTGCTGTTTTTCTTTTTTACCTTTTCTTGTTTCATTGTATGTAATGGCAGAGATTAGGGATTAATAAAGTACAACCATAACCACAATCATATAAACAGAAATCTATTTCGATTGAAAGCTTTCGTGACTGCAGGGATTCATCTTCTTGGTTCATCACGTAGAAGACAGACCTGTTCTTCACCTGAGGACGGCTGCTTGCGTTGTGGCCGAAACGTCGTGAGAATTGTATTGTTTTATTTGTATTATATTACTTCCCTTCTACGTGACTTTACCGAAAGAACCAAGAGATATCTATTTTATAGCAATATATTGGGGGGGGGGGCATTTTTAGAATATTTGAATATTGAGGGGGATGTGTCCCCCCCAATATATATTATAATTACGGCCGAGGGTTGTAGGGGTGCACAAATTGCAATCAAGGGTCATGGTTCAATAATTACGAATGTAGAGACCTTTAGCGGCCAAGTTAAATGCCAGGAACGTGTGTTTTGACCCATGTTATGTATAATTCCAAGCACGCACGTCTCTCCATGCTTGTGCACTTTGTAGGTTTTGTTTCATTTCCTTTGTCAAAGTGCACGTTTCTGACCCACGTCATATCAGGTATACGCATGAATGTTCCTTTAGTGGCATGAGCATGTTGTTTTTCGTGATATTTTCCAAAACACCCCAACATGCTCTGGTGTGGCACGATTTCATTTTGATCTGGATCCACCTTCAAATACTGCCCGAGGTGTTTTTCTTTTACGTCAATATTGACGATCATTGCCGTCACGGTGCTTGCTGTCTTTTTGTGTGGATGCACAGATGCCCATAAAAGGCCGATGCACCATGTACGGTAATAATATATTGTGGTTGTCTTCCATCAGCCATTGCTTTTTTTGCTACAAAATGGAGATTCTACCCTTTGAAAGCTGTTAATCTTTCTTATATCTTTGCTGGCCACATACTGGTGCACAAATCAGTTGTTACAGTTTTCACGGCCAGATTGCACAGATTATCCATTTATAACAGTGAATGCAATGCACTCAATTTATGTTGGGTGCACGTGAATATATAGCGAGGTTCTCATTAAGACTAAGATTCGACTGCACCAACTATGGGTGAAATCATCATGTCAGCAGTGCATGAATTAACTCTACTGTTGTGGAAGCTCCGATGATAATGCTGGTGGTATGTTGCATTGCTGCTAACATTTCAAAGTACTCACGGGAGTAGGCTTTGTCTGCTATTCCGTAAACGATGGGAGTCACCACGTGTTTTACCTTGGTGTGTATTGAGTGCACTAATTTAGCTGTATGCACAAGTCATGCACTCAACCCACACCACGTGCAAAGCCACAAAGTCTAACCGATCATATTTCAAATGCAATCATATGTCCGGAAGTGGTTTTCTAAAATCAATAACTATTTAAAGGGTAGATTAAATTATACATTATGTGGAAGCAAGGACACTCAAGATGTGTTGCAGTGTCATTCTTCTTCAGGATCTTCAGCAATATCAGTGCAAGGTCATCTTGATTAAGTGATTTCATAGGTGAAACCTGGGGGGGGAAAAACATGAAAACCAAAATACTAAGTATCAAAAACATGATTAGAAATAAGTATAAAGAAGATGAAACAAATCAATTTGACTATTTAATTGCACCTGGACAAATACATCAACCTCAAACACCAAGGGCATGACCATCCAATCTTAGGCAGTTGTAACTTTAAAATGTTGAGATAAACTTGCACTCGGGGATACAAAGTCTAAAGCTGAGGCCAAAAAAACAATTCCACTACAGTGAACAATTTGCTTAAGAACCACAGTGCTATATGTTTTATCATTTAACATTCTGAATCAAATGTATTACAGGGACCAATACAGTACTTTTAAAACAGTGATATGAAGATAATGCTTTTTCTTTTAAGTTCTCATATCTTCATAGACAATTCAAGTTGTTTACCAGAATTAACTCCACAAGTATTGATTTGTTATTGGATTCTAACATGTAAAGGTTTAATCCCAGAAAGCACAAACTAATAGCAACTGGCTTGAAAGGAGATTCCATATATAGATAATACAGAACAGTTCACTGTTAAAATGATGTTTAAAAATGCCTCTCAGGCCATCCTTCATTAGCACTTGAAATTTCTCAGTGACACTTTACCAATTGTAACTCTAATATATTAACACCAAGCCTAAAAAAGCTACTATATATTAATTAACTTTTAAATTCAAACAATGCAAGAGGAATTCGCAAACATACACCTTACAGGACTGCTATTATGACGAAGAACATTTCCATCAAATTCATTTCACGTTTCGTAACATTTTTGCAGAGTGCAAAATTATTACAAGGTTGTTGCATTTTCAGAAATGTGCCAAGAAAAACGTGATGGATGTCTTCAAGACAATGCAGAGGCGATCGTTCAAAGAACAGCAATTGAGGCAATAGATAAACAGCGACAATTCCTAAAAGTAAAACAGCATATGGAGCACAAAAAGGACCACTTAAGGCCAGTAGACATGGGTACTTTGGTCAACCATTGATACATGTGGCTTTAGGTGCAGCTGTTTACGTAACTATACACAGCCTTGCCTTAAAAATCACACAGTTATTACGGCAAATAATACCTGTCAACCACTTATAGATTGCTTCGGTAAACCTTACGACAGCATTGGGGGTTTACAATTTAAATCAGACCTGGGGTTTGCACCAAAGGAAATTCTCATTGCAACTACAATTCCACAGCCTCAAACAACAATACAGTAAATGACTCCATAAAACTATTATTTAACCATTAAACTTTAAATGATATTTGCTTACCAGAAACCAACTTTAGGCATCCGAGCATTCAGTGGTGATTCGTGGAATTCAACTAAGGTACCGTGCAAGGTAACAGATAATGAAAATTATGAACAGAATAAGCCACGTTGTTTATTCCTTGTTGAAATACCAATGTATCGTTGAGATACATACTGTATTTGCTAATATTGGTTGATGTGTTTTAAATGAAGTGACATTACATTTCAGGTTGTATAAATATATTTTTTTCAATACCGAATAATTTTGTTGTACAGTCCAGCAATTACTGTACAGATCACCCCAAGCCTGAGCCTAACAATCAAGCGGCTGCATTAAGATAGTGGTAAACTGTAAAAAGAACTTCCAAAAAACGTGCTGCACTTGTTTATTGTAAGCATTTGATTAATGGGTCAAGGATATAGATGGCACCAATTGGTTTGCAAAAAAAAATGCTTTCAAAATTGCATCCTTACTCTGATGGAATTACAGATGTATTAGATTAGTTGATAACCGAGTCTCACCATGAACTAGTATAATTTCACTGACACCGCTTTTACAGGTCAATTTGTAAAACATTTCAGCTTTAGAGTAAACTTTTTTTTACACATTGCATTTGACAAAAGCTATGGCACTGTACGATGATGGGCTGGAATAAACTTCTTTTTTTAAACAACACATTAAAAGGTAAACGTTTCCAGTTATTACGTATTTTCAAAATCTATCCAAACATTGCACTTAATTTGCTATATGAATGTTGAGTAAAAATGCTGTTAAAATAGGCCTTATATTAGGTTAATGCAATGATGCTTAACATTTCGTTTTCAAAACATGACTATTCACTGTATGAAGAAAGATCATATGCCATACTTGGAACAAAAATGCGAAGCATATTCACTTTACTAATAAAAAAAATACACATTTGAAAAATCCAGAAATGCTATGTTAAAGCAGTATTTTGAAAGCAGGGCATATAGGCAAAAGTTTCAGGTATGCTCTCCACCCTGCTGCAGAGCATCCCAACGGGTTTTAACGTTGCATTTGTGAAATCTCCACACTTCATAGACCTGAAGGCGAGGTTTGAACAATGGAACACTCAGACACAAGGACGCGAGAGCTGCCATCTCAAAGGACACCAACACACAATACTGTACAGGGCACAACAAAGGTGTGAGTAAAAGAAATAAATGAAGACCAGAAAGAATAAAAATGACATGGAGACATAACCAAGACACACCTTAACCATTCAAACAGCACTCTTTTTTATCATGTAGCTTATGTGCTCAGATGGTCTGAAGTGAGGGGGGGAACAAAAAAGGCATGGGAAGATATTCCAGCTGTCAAGTCAGCAGTGCATGAATTGAAATATTGGAGAATGCTGCAAAGTTTGGAACAGTATGTTTACATATAACAAATCTAACTCTTCCTTTACTCACAATCAGTAACTTGCAAACACGTGCAGATGAGAAAGACAAAGTCGGACGAGTATGATCATTTATTCAAAAGCTGCAATTAACTGCTCCTACTGAAAATAAAACTCTGCCAATTAAAAAATATAATATACGTAATAAAATGGAACACCAAATATCCAAGGGTTTGGGTGTGAAGGCTTACCTTAATGTCAATTAAATTTTAACACCTTTGAGCAAACATTTTCTCTAAAATCCTTACGTGCCAACCTACGGGACCCGATAGCATACCCTTTGCACAAAACGACGCATGGCCGTAATGTGCACGCATTCAAATAATACCGGTGGCCGTGTCTTTTAAAGCATCCTTTTAGGCCAAACTGCAGGAAAACAGTGTGCAGCTTGCGAATAAACGTGTCCCTTCCATCAGCCAATAAGCACTCTCATTCAGGCCCTGCCTCCTTCCCAAACCCAAACACCGCTCCCCCATCCCCGTGTCTCCCACCCCACCCCCCTCTGACCCTTTTGCCCGAGCACTCGCTCCGTCAGTTTAGCAGCAGCCGCCGTCTTGCTGCTGTCTGTTCTGGCTGCTGGCCATGCCTGGGCTGGAGGCGGCGTGCTGTGGTCCAATCTTGATCCCATTTGCCTGCCGAACCACACACACCGACAAATTCATGAATTGTAACACGATCAAAATAGGATAACGTGGCACCATCTCTACATGCACTAAGCTTTGCAGCAGCTTGAGGTATTAACACAATCATGTCATCGCTGCTGCCCCATGGTCGTTATCGATTTCCCTACAGTAGTTTTCCACCCACAAATAACAGCCTATGTAGGTGCTTTCTTATATGTAGAGCACATGAATAAGCATACACTTTTTTAGTAGCAGATACTAAACCAGTTTAATCGTCTTCATTGAAAAGATAGGAGTAGGGGAAAACCACGTCGGAAAAGAACAAAGATGAAGCCGCAGAGGGACTTTCCAACACCATCCTGGAGAGTTCAGTAAAAGGGATGAGGAAGAGAGGTCAGCCAAGGATCAGCTGGATGACAAACAGTGTTTTGTCAGGGAGATTAGCAGCAGACGTTGTGCCGATTGCAAAAGACTGCAAGAGGTGGACCGAGTTCATTGCCAAAGCACCAATGGAACTCCCATAACCCCCAAGGTTAAGTGGATTGTGATAATTGTAAAGCAAGCATAGCCAATAATATAAAACGTTCAATTATTTAATGCAAAGAGTAGAAAAAAGGGTGCATTTGCGTACCCTTCAAATCTAAATTTGTGTATGTATGGACACAGGCATAAAGGTAATGACCTCAATGAACCTGGCACAATTGCCAAGAGCAGTAATGTTATTGTATGCAAGGTGCTGGACAGTGAACCAAACAACATGTTGGAATGCCATTGTCTCTGCAGAATTGACACTGATGCACTACAGCAATTATTTACTTTCGGCCGAGCCAATCCAGAGGTAACCCATGCCACATTCAGATGCTGACATTCATGCGCTAATGTGCCGAAGCTAAGAAAACACACCACGGTCATTGGAATCATCTGTGAAAACTACTGGACATGTGTGAAGAGCTTCATAACTCATTGGATTGCTCCAGTCTAAATAAAGATTCTGATTCTGTCTAAATAAATATTCTGTATGTACAGGAGTGTGAGGACATGTAGAACTCTGTATCATGATAACTTGGCTGTGATAGCTGTGCACTGCCAAGCAAATTTGCATACAGCTGAAATTGCAATGGTGACAATTATGAAAATTCCACACACTAAGAGACTGCTGGCATTTTAAACCAATCCAGACATGAGCACACTACCCTCCCATCAACTGATGTTTTTTTTTCTCCATCTCATTAGCCACTCAAGGTCACCAATGACAATAAAGACCAGTGGACACTCAGAGCCAAACTGTAAATTCCTACATCTCGAAGGTTGTGCTTGTGGTCAAACTGTAGCCTCAACAACCCCACCCTCCCCCCAGTTCATGCGACAATAAATTAGCAGTACTTTTTTGGTGCATCATGCCATTATGGCATGGGTCAAACCAGCTGGTAAAATCTGTCTACCAGATAGACAGCAAGCAGCAGTAGGTAAGTGCACAAGTAGACACCCTCAAAAGCAGACGGTATTTGCGGGGTGCTTTAGAAGAGATGAAGGAAGTTGACAAGTTAGATTGGTAGAAAGCATCCATTATATTTGCGTCTCCTCGGCACATTGGTGCAGTCTGCCAATTTGCATCCACGAAGGCTGGATTATTTCGGTCTCGTCCACAAAGTTCTGTGGTGTTGTTAACGTATGCATATTGATATACTATTGCAATTAAACTACGTATGTATAATTAGATTTACATCCCTAAGGCTCCATAAAGGTTAACAGCGTAGCTTATTTCAAACAGATGTGCCATTACCTATCTGTAACTTCCTTTTAGATTACACTCATTTAAGCAATGGTATGCAAATGAATATAATGTGGCCTCAATACATTGCATCCTGACTAAGGTTCACTACCATTATCGGCCATGCTCTATCCACTGCCAGATGACTGTCTCCCCCCAACCGTTACCATCTATTACAGTCTTGTGATGTAAGAATCCATCTAGCTCCTGCACATGCGATGAATTTATCACTCCATCCTTGGAGGGGATCTAAATCCCTCCTTTGTATGCTACTCAATCATGAGCCTCGACCATTTGCAATCATTGCTTCTAAAGATGCGTTCAGCTCAAGCCCACTTGCTTCTATGAACAGCTGATCCTATCTTGATTTGAAGTTTTCGTGACTGCAGGAATCCATACTCTTTGGTTCTTTCGATAAAGTCACGTAGGGAAATTTTTTTATAATAAATCACGACGTTTCGATCGCAACACAAGCAATCGTCATCCGGTAGAAAGATACAGCAGTAGAATTGCTGAACAAGAAAAAGGGCTGTTGCAAAAAAAAAAATGTCTGTTCCTCTTCTTGTCTAAGTTTCATTCAAATTATACACCTCCCCATGCACCTTTGCACACATTTCAGCTCATCTGCCACTTTCTGCGGTAATTCTCATTGTGATCCATATGTTACAGAACCAAATATAAACCGATTTAACAACTATCCCCTTTAGGAATAATTGTATGTTCCTAACAAAGCACTCCAAGCTGCTTTTGTCCACCTATTTAATTGCTATTAGCTTGTTCAATAACTCCCTTAATGTTGTTATTCATCATTAGTCACTCAAGGTCACCTAATTCTCCCAAATACACCAACAGCAATAAAGAGCCACTCAGATCGGATGTGTTTTCCCAATGTGTTCTTCCTACATATCTCCAACAGTTGAGAATATTTGTTATAGACGATTTTTATTTTCCTTATTTTATCTTGAGCCCCATTTGACTATCAATCAGCTTCTATAAAAATCAAAGAATAGTATTTGTATACTATGAGAAGGGATAAAAAATGTATACCTACTATAATCACCCAGGAATGACCTTAACGCTCATGACGTCACTGCACATCGACTAGCCCCCTCATTAATATTCATGAGCAGGTGACATCCTCAAAATGGACACCCCCCCCACCCCTCATTAATAATCATGATCAGGTGACGTCACTCCACGTCGAACAGCCCCCCTCATTAATAATCATGAACAGGTGACGTCCTCCACATGGACCCGCCCCCCCCGATTCATAATAATTAGCAGGTGACGTCACTCCACATGGGGGGCCGAGGGGCCTCCCCCCCCCCCGCCCCCGGCTTCAACTTACAACCCTCACTACAAAGGCAGAACCCTCACGTCACGCGATCTCCGTAACGCTATTGAGACATCAACGTTAAAATTACGCCATGATGAACAAAGGATTATAGCCAATGAATATATGACGTCGCGGTCTGCTTTTCGCTTGCAAGTTTCAGATTTACTGCAATACGCCCGTCCTTGGATGGGCAAAACGCGAGTTAAACATATCTACCAACTTAAACAGTTACACCAATCCAATTTATATTAGAGGTTACACACATCTATATTAGAAGGCTTTGTTCTGAAACTTGTATTGGAGAATTAAATCGATTAAAATAATATATAGACCATCTCAGAATTGGCAATGACATCATCATTCTAACAACCAATGTAAAGTAACCTATAGTAGACTTGCTGTAAATGTGAGTGCAGGTAACATACATGCAGTTTATATAATTTTATGAGCAAGGTACAACAGAATAAGGATACAATGTAAAACATGAAGAGGTACTTCAGATCCATCTCTATCTAAAATTAAAATTACCAGGCTGAAAGCCAAATTACAGTTAAAAAATTAAAAGTACCACACCCACAATCCAAGTTTTGGAAATGGCGTGTGAAATACTGGTTTTAGCCAGATCCCATGGAGGTGACTAAACAGCACGAATCTGATTAGTGTGAAGTTTATACGTATGTATGTACGTATGTTGAACTTCTTTCACACCATATGTAGGAGGTGCAGGAGTTTTCAATCTAGTATTTAATAGCGCATAGGTCTAAGTAGAGTCATAATATCAGAAGGAAGAACGTTCCAGGTTGCAGCAGAAACCCATCTCAAAGCGCGCGATGCAGTGACCATCTTTGTTTGATGGTTAGCCAAAAGCCACTGTGAGGAAGAGACAAAAGCCATGAAGAAAAGAGGCATGACAAGCAGACCGATACCATGGCTTTTACCCATTACTGCAATTTCTGCTTACCTCATTGTTAATATCAAACACGCCTTCCTGAATTTTCTCGTAGATTTCCTTTGCTGTGTTGATGAATGCCTGTACATTGCAAATATAAGAAAAATACACTGTGAGACCACCTTTCATCATTTTCAAAATGTGAGAATTGTGTAGACAATGTAACCGGAAAACTGGAACAAAATCAGTCTCTCTATTATTTAACTAAACTGTTCCATAAAGTTAAGGTCTGAAGCATTTAACCCCGTGATCTTCCATAAATTAATCTATTAAAATACATGGACAAGAACGATGGGTGTCACAGCCACAATGAAATGCGTCGTCTGCTTCATAGCGGATGTTAAAGATCCCCCTGGCATCATTCACGAGAGTAGGCCATTGTGTTCAGCCGTCAAGGTCCAAATTCGCTGAATTCTGATCGTTTTAATGGGTTCTCTTCAGACACTCCAATTTTCTCCCACATTCAGAACTAAATAACGAATTAGCCAAACATGCAAAGTAGGACTCTCCTGAAGTAGTCTTGAGACTCGAAAAGTTTTCATGAAGAAAGGGTATAATTTCTAATTGGCAAAACGATTCATCCCTTACCCTCGGTGATTTGAAGAATTATGACGATTCAGGGACATTTCAATTAAAGTATTATTTTTCTATTGTACTCTGAATGGTAACGTCTCTAGTGGACGCAGGGGTGACAGGTACCCATTATATACAACATATGTATACGAATCGACAAACATCGACTCTTGCTCACACGATTTGATGAATGTATGTTGAGCTCAATAATCAAATGTTCAGTAATAAACTGTATAATTCAACTCCGAGTTATTAGGCTAAAGGAAAGAGTGAATATGTGCTTGCATGGGAAGATTCTAGTTTTGTAATGCCGTGCGGTGATTCTCAATGGATGGCATGGAGTTGGTACCTCCTCCACATTGGAAGCGGTTTTGGCCGAGGTTTCCATGAACACCAAGCCATGCTCTCGCGCAAAAGCCTCCCCCTCTTCCCGCTTGACCTCTCGTCTTGACTCCAGGTCACTATAGCAAGGAAGATTACACAGTGAATTAGGATCGCAGAGAGCTGCTTTGCAGGCCAGGTTCACACACAAAAGAGACAAACTCTTTACATTTTTTTTAGAGACGTGTGAGGTCAATTTGCTTGTTCAGCGAGACAGATGTGACAGCATGATCTTTAATGCTTGAAAGGTATTTCAGTATTAATTTTAGAAGTATAACACAATGACATTAGTACTCATATGGCATCTACACGCAACCGCATCTCATGAAGGTGGCAAGAAATTGTGTGAATATTAATTTCGTAGAGAGAAAAAGGCAGTCAGTCACAGGCAAAGGGAACAAAGGTCGTGAGGCAGGTCTTCATTAGAGACAAAGATTTGATAGCATTATGACTGGGGAAAGGGAGTTCCAGACTAGAGGAGAACGATCACTCTCCCAATCAGTGAAGGTTGACTGGGGACTTTGGCACAAAGTCTTGATTGCTCGAGGGGAGAGTGCGTGGATGAGAGGAGAGTGAGATGAATGAAGAGAGATAGGCAGGGCCTTAAACTTAATTTGGAGCTATCGTGACTGCAGATGCCATATGAGTACAGGGCCTTGTCCATACATGATGTCAAAGAGAGTAACCGTGATCTTGAAATTTTTTAGACAATTGGGCTGGGAACCTGTGCAGAGATTTAAATATTGGGGTGAAGTGGCCTTGTTTACTAGCATGGCTGAGAATTCTGGCAGCAATATTATAGATCTACAAGGTGGTGACATGAAATTTGAGAAGGCCATAGAGGAGAGAGTAGCTGTAGCGGAGTTGGGATATGATGAAGGCATGGATGAGGAGTCTCCGCAGCAGCTGGGTAAGGATATATATAGTGAATGTGGAAGGTAATGTGCAGATGCAGGTATGAGGTAATGCAGAGTTGGGAACAGAACAAGAGTTCGATATCGATAACAACGATAGGCCTTCACACACACACACACACGAGTCAAGCATCATGTCAGAGTTGAGGAGGAGCATGCTCAACTGGAGTTGATTAAAATAACTCTGAAAAGATTTCTTTGGGTCACAAAAATGTAGAAAACAAGCCCTAAACTATGGTGTGATATAAAAAAAAATATATACTATACTGCTGGTTTTCAGTCTTTATACAAGATTAATTATATATTAATTTTAATATGACAGGGTTTTATGATTAAATTGAAATCCTTTAAAGTATTAAATGACTTAGCATGTATCCCAATAATGTGACCAATTGAAATTTACAGAAGTGTCATCATTACCGTGCATACACTTGAACACATTCACATTATTTTCCGGACACTCATTGTTTCATGTTTAATAACATTAATGATGAGCTGGTATAACCAAGTCTAAATGGAAATGTTGTTACAAAATGGTTTAAAAACCAAATCTGTAAAGGTGAAAACCATCTTTTATCTTCGAATTTTAAGATCAAGCAATTATTAGTTAACCCTATTAAAGCACATCTACATAACTCACGATACAGAATACATTGCAAGTTGTAAAACTCATATATCACTGGAAAAGTCTGGTGTTCAATACACTTTTAAGTTTCACAAAATCCAACAAGATAATGTTAGACACACAAAGCTTTTAGAACCAGAGTTCCAAGAGAGATTAAGGCATCCACGCCAGATAAGAAACAGCGATCTACATGCTTCCTTTAAAATCTAGGTTTAGAAGGCAGCGTCTATAAACTGCAGGACACATTGTTTATGTGCTGCCCCTTGGCATTAGAAAGGGCCGTGATCCAATTGCCCATGACAAGGCACGTAATAGCTTGCTGACCAGCCAGTGGGGCAAGGCCGAAAGACATGCGCTTGTTCTCGTTAAAATTGACACGATGTTCTTAGTGACAGTCAAAATAATATCGTTACAGCATCTAATTTGCAAAAATGGAATCAACCAATGCATTGGCTTTTGTTTGTGCACATCTAAACAACTATATTCCCAATGACGTGAATTTCATCTCCACAAAGTGAAGATTTCATCTGCACAAAGTTAAGATGAAATTCAATTGGAACACCCTACAAATAGCATAGTTATATATCTCATAAAGCTATGCTAAATTATTTAAAGGGCTTCTGCTCAATAAATCAAGCAATTATATCTCCAAAAATCAAGACTTCTCTCAATTTTCAGCTCAGCAGATCAGCGTTTTCTCACATCCTATCTGCCAAAAGCCCTTTGAGCTGGCCATACAATATATGAAATACCCAACTTTTATTTTATGGCGGGTTATGTTCATCTAATATCTTACACTCACTGAACCCTACACTTAAATGGGTGCTAAAGTTTGGAATCCAAGACTTCAGTGGTGTTGGTTCAACACTAGAACACAAGCACAATAGTGTCAAATCCCCCCAGGAAGCATTACTTCATAAACAGAGTCATGCACTACATCACAACATACTGCTGCTCTGCAGCTCAAAGACTGTAGGTTAGGAGATATTTAAATTATCAATGCACAGACGTGATATTATGCTTTTATGCATCAGAGAAAACTTCATATTGGATGGATGTTGGCAGCACACACCTCTAATATAGCCCTGTGCAGGAGAGGGTTGGTGGATAACACAAATGATGCTAAAAACTCCCTTTCCGTGGGTGTTAAGGTGCCACACCGTTGCTTGCCGGGAGAACGCAGTTCAGCATAGTGCGGACTAAAATCATGTCCCTTCTGTATAGAACAAGGTGTCAACCCCTTGCACGCGTGGGTTTTCTCCGGGTGCTCCGGTTTCTTCCCACATATATAAACACTAATTGGCTGAAAAAATAAATATATAATATAGGATCCAAGAGCGTGGGTAATTGGTGGTCCCGGCTCACCACTTGGCTACTTTCCCGCTTGTCTGTGGTTCTTTAGTGATTGTGAGGTGCAATTTCCAATAACGGCGCTGTATAAAAATAAGCAATGTTATTATGATCCACTGTTGTCTGCCTATAGCTCATCCAGATACTGTGCATTCAATTGTGACCTCCAAATGGAGCACCCTTGTAAACATCAGGTCTGCACTTCCTAGGTGGAAGGCACCCAAGACAAAGGTGTTCAATAATGCATATTGCTCCGTATTGTATACTTGTCATCTGCAGCTTAATGGATTTTATTATCGAGGATATTCCACTCGGAGCCCTGTATTCAATGGTATTCAATGACACATAGTGCTTTATTTCTAAGCTATGCACTGGACAAAACAATGAGCCTGTGTACACACAAGACAAATATAGCAGAATGCATTAGTCTTGCAAAAATGTCTAATATTTACTGGTTTACCCCAATGAGATTTTGCCAAGAGACAATCACTATGCGGAGGGCTCACTTGCAGTTGCGTTAACACTTCGAGGCTCCAAACCTAAGGCATTGTGCGGTATGCAATGGAAATACCTTTTACCGTTATCATTATTGTTGTAAACACATGCGGCTCAAGAGCGCTGAGGAGTCGGCAGCAACTCGGCAGTTACTAAGTGCATGCTCACCATATAACAGTGCATATTTGGTAGAAGTCTTCGCGGCTTAAACTCAAGTTGAACGATGCAATGTTAAAGCAATGTTGTCCGTGTTGCTTTGTTAAAACATGAGCTGCTTCATGGGGGAAAGTGAGCTGCGTGTGCTTATGCATTGCATAATTTGGTTCAAGCCCTTTTTGAAATGCATTCTCAATACACGTGAAGTGCTCCAATTGGACAGGACCAAGAGGTTGTTATGTCAACATGATCCAAATTTTAACCATCGACAAATATGGATGTTTCAATGTTTTTGACTGTGTAAACATTTTACAAACCTGGACATCTTCGTGAAGGTGAATAACACACCCTCCTTAATCGAAATATTTGGTAATTTTTCCATGGGGTATGAAGTAGCTTTTCCTTGGCTAGATTCCCAAATGGGGTTTCTAGTTTAGGCTGCCCAGATATGAGGAGAGGGTGGGAGTCAGAGGGCTTGGCCTATGTTGTATCAATCATGAAAGATATCAGCCACGATTGACTGCGATGGCTCAGTAACATGCAACTTTGTTACAAAACAGGAACAACAACGTTGCTTTGTTTAGCATGGGATGTTGCAGAAGTTAGAAAAAAATGCAACAAAGCAAAGTGCGCGAAATCTACACCGTTTTATTTTTAAATCTCCAAGAACCCAGAACACAAACATCACAGAGGGAGATACAAATCACGAACGTGTGACTAACCCCGAATACACCCTCAAATGTGGGGGGGGGGGGGGGTAGTGCCTCGAGGCACTTTGGCTCACTGCCCTACCACAATCAAGGGCAACGATCAGGAGCAGCAGATTAATGGGGAAGGGAGGGGGGCAAAGAAATCATTACCGTTAACTTGGGAGTAAAGCTCACCTCTTGTTTCCGATGAGCATGATGACCATGTTGGAGTTAGAGTGCTGGCGAGCGTCTTCAAGCCAGGTGGTCAAGTGGTTGAAAGTGTCTCTCCTGTTGGTCGTTCAAAAAGCAGAGCATAGCAAGTATGCTGGTTCCATCATGGATCACAGGAGGCTGGGTTGTTAATCGGTGAGCACGATTGCCACCGAGACAATTTTCACTGCACTGCCTGTTCAAGTCTTGCTGTTGCCCTATAGCTTTGGTCTTTTCAAAGAGTGTGATGCCGTGCTCTAGAAAATATTTTATACCCTGTGATGTAATGAACAAGAGCAACCCATTGTGTGCCAGTCATGGGAACAAATTTTCAATGCAATGAAATACCACTGCAATTAAATCGATTATGGTCTTTGAGTCACTTATGGAACAGATAGGTAACAAGTCTCAAATATGGTTACATAAAAAACGATTTACTTTTCCAACACCTGCATTAATGTTCGTGCACTAAATTGAAAATGGTGGCCAATAGTGCAATCTACTGGCAATGTATATTTGATTGCTCCTTTAAGTGATTGGAAGATTTTTTCATATACTGTAGAGCTTAGTTTTTCACAGAACTACAAAAAAAACTTTGCATATGATATGGACATTTTAGAACGTAGTTATGACAGTTTTGGTTCTATCTTATTGACAAATCTTGTTTAAAGCATGAATGCTTATAATCCATCTAAATCGCACTAGTCATTCTGAATTAGTCCATGGATTTCCTGATTAAAGCAAACACTGTTGCTGAATAACAATGGTCCAAAAGGGCTATTGGTTGATGAACTTAAAGATTATTTTATTGTTAAATGATGAGATGTACTCCTATTTTTAAAAGATTATTCATGGTTGTTGTAGTTTCACATAACAAGGGCAAACCAGTGTTTGACTTAATGAGAAAAGGTGGCAGGGAAACTGCTCTGGGTGTACAGGTGGATGGAAACCTTTTATTCACTAAAATGGTCTGGTAATTAATCAGTGTATCTACTCATGAGCCAATACACTCCGTCAACAGTTTAACTCCCACAGCTGCCCAATGATTCCTACTGGGAACTGACCATCAATGCCATGAGCTATACAATGGGTATTAAATACCCAATGACATCACTCACAAAAAAAGAGCATTGTGGAGTGTCAGTCGGTATACAAAATTTGTAAATTATCCATAGCTGAAATAAATGCATACATTACTGTTGTTCAATCAAATATCCCTTTGTAAACAAGACATTTAAACTCAAGGGGTGTTAGATAGATAAATAAAGAACTTAAAATTTGATCCTCAATAATTGAACATTATGGACAACTTCATGTAATAATTCGTAATAACTCATAAAAGTAGTGATTCAGTGCTATTCATAGGCTGCGGGCACGAGTGATATGGTCGAAATAGCCTAACAACTTCATCATCGTTACATTTATTGATCAACTACGTAAGAACCCATTGAGTCGAAGTCTTTTTTTATCAACCTGGCTTACAAGAATGACAAAAAACAATACATACAAAACCAAACGTAAATATAGTTTAAAATCGATATATTTAAAAATATTAACAGCTGAAATATTGATAAAATATCAAGTTGCCTTAGCAAAAACTCAAAATTACCAGAAAAGCCTGTTTTAGAAATAACTGAGGTTAATTGTATGATTGAATGGTTATTCCAGGTATTCAAAACCCATAGATGAATGCCCATTCTCTCCAGTACTGTATTCTTGACACCTTACCGAGAAATTGTGAGACTTGTCTAAAGATGTAATGTCTTAAATTTGGTATAAGCAGATCACGTAAGCTTAAATACAAACGCAAAGCTAGACAGTACTTCATGATGTAACCAAAACACTGCCCTTATCTTGTGTTGTTTGGGCTGTGTTTCTGAGCTATCTGACAATAGTTTACAAGTTGAATTACCAGTAGTGATGTAACTGTAGCTTCACTCAAGTACTTTTTAATAGGCATGCATGCCTATGACAATAATGAAATATTCTTGAGTGCAAAGACCAATACAAACAAAATGTTAAGAAGGACTGAATGATGCTTGCATTATATTATGACCCAGAATCACAAAATTCAACTTCTGCTGCAGGGGTTGGGGATAAATGGTTACATGCCAACTTTAAATCGTCCCTACAGTGATATCACCAGTTTTTCTGACAATAACTCTGCCTTTCTATCATTTATATAATGATTTATTCTCATGAACAAAGTTTAAAACTGGAATTGGGTAACATCTAACTATTTGTTTTATGGGTTGTGTCTCCTTTAAGGTAAGCATGTGTACAATCCCAGTAATATTGTCATGCTGAGACATGCAAAAACGAAAGATGAGCTGCTCCATATAGCTAATGCTGCTGCAGTTAAAATTGTTACGTTAGCCTAAGAAAGGACTTCACAAAGCCCCGGAGTCACACATGTGGCCGCACCTGAAATGCGGCCACTCCCCAAAGAACTGCTGAAAAATCAGTTTCCCTGAAGTTTTTTTCAGATTCAGCTATTTTGTAAAAACGTGGCAATACTACTTCAATACCAGCAATAACTTTCACATATAAATGGCAGTAACTGATCATATTTCATTTATGCTCCATTATGCAATGGAAAAAAAACAATATTTGAAATTAATTAAACACATCTACAAAAAAAGTTAAAATGTGACAACTTAAAAAAAAACCCTTTACATTTTAGAGCCCAACAACCCAGGATTACATGTCCTGATGAATACTGTGGATATATTTAACACCACTCGAGAGTACTGCCACTATTGCATGCCTGCCACTGCCTATAAATCATTGTTTGATAAATCTAATACGGTCCACAAGTACTTTGTAATATATCACACAAGTTGAGAATAAAAACTTACAGCCTTCGGATTTTCAGTGACATGCGTGGTTTTATTTGTGATTGGAACTCTCAGTATGCTTGGTTTTATGCAAGGTCGTAAATGTGATTTAAGAGAAATAATGTAATCTTACATCTCTCAAATTTATTTTTATTTGTAAAGCGATGCAATTTATAGCTTCTCTCCCAGGTGCGTTATCAGTAGTGGTATTAAAAAATGAATTTGCTGCATAAAACATGAACGTGTTGGGCTATGTATTCACTTATAAACATAATCCATGACATCAAGTTCTCGTTGTACTCAAAACAAATTATTCCATTATTGCCATTCCACCAGACTATTTTTAGTTTACGCATCATGAATAGGGAATTCGTTTACTTCCAAGAAGACTTGAGGAGATACCATTTCATCAAAATATATTTTTACCCTCGTGTACCTTGTGATGTCATAAACCAGCAGGGCACCCGCTGCACCTCTGTAGTAAGACCTTGTGATGGATCTGAACGACTCTTGTCCGGCCTGCACGTAAAGACAATTGCTTGACAATTAAAAACCGCGTATCCAATTTCCCTCGACAACAGCTGCTCAACTGTGTAACAACCGACTTAACCAACATAATTAAAGTGCAGTGAAGGCAGTAGCGGACAGGAGATAAACAAAGTGTCACGCACCGTGTCCCAGATCTGGAGCTTCACCTGCTTCCCATCAATGGTGATCATTCGTGCGCCAAACTCCACGCCTGAGCAACAAGACGAGGAGTTGATTTTGCTTGATGAAACAAATTGTTTTCTTTTAAAGCTAGACTATATCCACACACATCCCATTGTCAGTCCAATGATATTGCTGTCCAAATCTATGTCGTTGTCATTGTAAGAAAAACTGTTCCTGGCACTCATCTTAGATGAAGATGACCTAGGGGAGGCATACTTAATACAATTCTAATAACCATTGCTGATGTAGATCAGCAAAACAAATGCATGTTTTAGTGGGATTTATTGTAATGTACTAAAAATGATCGCACTGATATCCAGCAATCTCATCCACACAAACCATGTTCTGTCTGCATTATCATACACCCAATACAATTACATTACTCAGTAATAAACAACACATATAAAGCGACGACTAACCGATTGTCAGATCATGGACGGGCTGGAACCGCTTGTCTGTAAACTGCAGCAAGAGACACGACTTTCCCACGCCTGAAATAAAAAGAAAATCGAGCAGTTCAAAATAAATCCCGGTTACAAACACACACTATGACAGTCAAATTACAGAAGTCACCAAAGCAGCACAGATCATGCAACATAACTGATAATCCACACATAAATTGTATATTGACAAGGATTCACAGGCTTGTTTAGTTTACTATAGTAAATATACACTGTGTAGGATTTACAAAGCGAAATTATACGTACAGTATTTGTCACACGCTGAGGTCACTGCGTACAAATTTGCCTATTCCATCAATGTCCAAGTGTTGTTTACAGATGTTCCTTGCACACAGGCTATTTAAAGTTACGTTGGTGGACCTGATAGTTGCTTTAGTGGCTCTTAGAAGCAACCCTCACAACATCTTATCAGATTAAATGTAAACATACCTAAATCATTTAGTATCTATATTTTGGCTTTCACGACTAATACTGTGATTCATAATTGGGTTTTGGGGATAGGTCATGTGAGAAAACCCACGACCTAACCCAAATACTTAATTATGTTATTAAATAAATACATTAAAATGTTTATGTTACACTTCAAGATATTTTTTAAATGTCTGTAAAGTCATATCTAGATTCTTTAGTTATGAAAAATGAAAACAAGTTTAATCATGCACAGAGTAATACATACACTGCAGATATCAAATTACAGTACTTTGGTAGATGGCAACAAGCAAGGTTTAACATAGCTAGTTGTTTAGAGAAAGGTTTAGTAAACGTATAAAAAGGTGAGAGGGATGGTTAGTAGTGGCAGGTCATCTCAGAAAATAGAAGACGAAACAATCCACGTCGTATGGTTTATAGGTGGTGAAGAAGAGAGCAGATAACTCGCGATCTCAATGCCACATCAACAGAAGGGCAAGGCGTTAAAATCAGTTTTAAAAAGTTCAGAATCCAAGACGAGACATTTTCTGCTGTATTAACCGCAATGACGGTACTCGCCAGTGGCATGTGAATGTTCAAATAACGTAATGCGTTCTTTTGGCGGAGGTCTCTCAAACACGTATGTCAATTGCAAAATTTACTTCTGGTAAAGTGGCGTAAATGACACGTTCGTGCTGCGGCGCAAGTATTTAAGATATTCTTTACGGCACACACTACGGAATGATGGCGATGGATGTGGACTTCAACGCTTCACTGTTGACAATCATCAACTGCGTCAGAACATCACCAGGCCGATGCGCACATCTCCTTCATAAATTGGAACGTAAAGAGACAAGACAGTCAAACTGTGGCCATGCAACTCAAATTACGGCCCAACACGACAAATCAATGTCGCCTGCAATCTTTCAACAGAGGAATAACAAGACGGAAGCAACCCCCCCCCCACCCCCCTCCTGAAGCTTTCTCGTGGCTAGCAGACTTCGACATTGGCATTGAGCTTCTGCATATTGCCACGTGCAAGAATGGAATTGCAGAAAAGCTCAGAAAAGACGTACGGGAGTGGCTGTTGTGTCAGCTACGCCACTAAAGCTCCACAATCTACTCCCACTGACCGTGCAGTTAAGGCCATTGTATCATTCAAGAGTCAAACAGTCTGTACGTATCTCACATGCATACAATAAGCCAATACCAGTGTCGGTATGAACATAAACCTTTAAACTGCCCGCGTCGAGACTCAAAACTGCCAGGCCCGGCACTCGATGGGAAGTCTCGCTCCTGTCAAGCGAATGTGGAATTGCCACCTTAGCTCTGAAGACAGGCGAGCTCAATTAAGAGTGACGGAACTTCGAGGCAACCCAAGACAGTTCAATTAACATCAACCGACGACTGACACCGAACGGGCCCCTCGACCTGCCGACACCGCCCCCCCCCTACCCACCCCCCCATCACCGCGGGGTACCCTGCACCAACCCCGGCTGGGAGATCCAGGCAAGAGTCGGGGGCGGCGAGGACCTCGGCGTTATTCGCCTAGGCCTCAAACCGACAAAAAAAAACCCACTCGCGTTCCACGTCAGCGCGCCCGTCTCGCCTCCGTCTCCGAGGCTCGCGAGCCTCGCCTCACCCGTGTCGCCGATGATGATGTACTTGAAGAGGTAGGCGTACGACATGTTCGCTTTGCTTGAGTTTGCGGCGAGAAAAACACTGTCTGGCGAAGGGGCGGGGGGGTGCAAATCAGTCGTTATCTATCCACACAACACGGCGAGTCCGGCGGCGGTGACGTCAGCGCGCACAGCCGGGTCCTACGTCATGACGTCACCCGGAAACACCGTTTAAAGGGCTGCCGAGCGCGCTTTTCTATTGGTCGAAACGCGACGCGCGTCGCCACGCTGCTCGCGTGACGTCAGCGCGTTGTCAGGCGACGTCGCCGTGTGGACTTGTCGCCGAACGCCCACGTTGCGCATGCGCGAGCCTCGAGGTAAACAAGAGTCACGTGGTTGCTGCCCCTCCCCCCTCCCGCGCGCGCCCTCCTCGCGACCCCCCGCGGCAAGGGACACGTGGTACGTGGAGCCGGCGGTGACAACACAGGGGGTTGTTTTACCTGCAGATCAAGAGGGCCCCTTTTTAGTGGCAGTTTTCGGGAATGTTTTAAGAGCGACCAACACGGATTAGATAAGGGCGATGAGATTGGCGCGTGTGGGCAGGGTCGAAGGTGGATTGTGCCATTATGAAGGATTTTGACTAAAAGCTTTCGTGACTGCAGGAATTCATATTCTTTGGTTCATTCGCAGGGGCGGTTTCTTCATTAGGGCGATTGGGCGACGCACCACCAATGTCATTCAACCACAGAGTCACGCTAGCCGTCACTGTGCCTCTGGATATAGTCCAATCAGCGTCATGCTACGTTCTGTGGAGTACCGCCTCTTTTTGGGCGATTTCACTCCGGCTGAGAATCGCCCCGAGTGGCCCCGTAGACTTACATTCAAAGATGTTTTTTTTCGAACGGGGGGCGCTGCAATGCATTCTCTATGGCTTCCGGGAGGGCTCGCACTAACGTGCTTACGTCATCATACGTAAGCACGTTTCATCCAACAATTATTTGTCGCCACCTAGTGGAATCTTTAATACAAGAAACATGAGTGGATTGTATTAATAGTGAGTAGAGAAACAAACAAGATGTATTGTAAGAGTCACTTAATTTTTCATTAATATTAAAGAAGTGAAGTTGCCTTTACATGCTTAAGCTGTTAATTTATCCTTTGCATGGGTGGACCTTATCCTTATCAATCATCCAGACATTTGCCCCCCCTGAGAGATTTTGCAGGAGCCGCCACTGGTTGTTTTACCTGCAGATCAAGAGGGCCCCTTTTTAGTGGCAGTTTTCGGGAATATTTTAAGAGCGACCAACACGGGAGTAGATAAGGGCGATGAGATTGGCGCGTGTGGGCAGGGTCGAAGGTGGATTGTGCGATTATGAAGGATTTTGACTAAAAGCTTTCGTGACTGCAGGAATTCATATTCTTTGGTTCATTCGGTAAAGTCACATAGATAGAAAATGAAAATAATAAAAACCAAAAACTCACGACGTTTCGATCGCAACACAAGCGGTTGTCATCAGGAGGAGAGAAAAGGGGGGTTAAGCATCTAAATGCAACTGTTTATAAAGGTTTAAAATGAGCGGATCCCAAGTGTCGGAAGGAGTCGGGGACAAGAGCCGTGAAGGTTTACAGAGTACCTTGGTCTCGAAAAAAACAATATCGTGCGAGCCCACTGCGTTATAACAATGATCAGCCACTGCAGAGGTATTGGTTCTGCCGTGTTTCAAATCTGCCTTGTGTTCGCACGGTCCGAGACATGTCGTTTCGTTTCCCCAATGTAACTGCTGCCGCAGACACAACTTCGTTTGTAGACACCAGGGTATTGCATGTCAGGAATGACATCCTTCACAGATGGGATCAAATCATGAAGCCATCCAGACATATAAACACAGAGACAATTTCAACCGAGAAGATGGGTATAAGCTGAGCAATCATTGAAAGGATGTTATTAACCAAGCAAAGTCATAACTTGCTGTGGTGTTTCCATTCTTCCCTGCCGTTTGGCTGTTATCTCCAACTCTCTTGAGTTGCATTGCCCTGTTGGGTGCTTCTGCATTAACGGGCTGGGGTCTCAGTAGTATGGCCACCTCTGCTCCCTTAGCCTCGATGTATCGATGGTTCTGGCTGTGTGATGGGCTTTGTGTCTGACTGGCGTGACCACCATTGCGGTGGTTCACTTGCGTGGACGCACTTGCTCACAGCACAGTTGGCAGCGCCGCAGTTTGTGTTACACATAGACATGACATTAACTTACTAATCCCCCTAATCTCCCTGCCTAATCTCTCCCAACAACATAGGGCTAATGTCCCATTAACATTGCTGTTGTGCGCATATGCGGGGATGATACTGTTATGTGGCGACGGAAGTTCATTTTATATCTCTCTCTTTCCCTAATCTCCCCATTAACACAACTGACGTGCTTGCATCCGGGGATGGAATTCCTTTCCAGCTCAGACCCCGCTTGCTTGCCCATCGCCACATAAATAACCTCTTGTTGTAACAGCTGGTTCAGCAGTTCCACTGCTGGATTATTTTTTCCGCCTGAGGACGACTGCTTGTGTTGCGATTTAAACGTCGTGATATATTATTTGTTGTTTTATTTTATTTTTCTACCTATGTGACTTTACCGAAAGAACCAAAGAGTATGGATTCCTGCAGTCACGAAAGCTTTAAATCACGTTCTACTTAATTAAATAAAAATGTTATAACAACACTAATTTTGATAATTTTTTATTATTCACTTTTTGATAATTTAAATGTATTAAGGTTACCTTTTATTTTTAGTACACCAATAGAGCGAGACCAGCTGCGCTTGGCCCGTGACTGGAAAATGCTAGCTGACATTGGCCGGCAACTTGTGTTTCCTCCGGAAATCGCAACCACCACCCTAAGACCTGACATGGTGCTCTGGTCCCGTTCGCTCCAGAAGGTCTTCATCATTGAGCTCACAGTACCCTGGGAGGACTCAGTAGATGAGGCTTATGAGCGAAAACATCTGCGCTATGCCGATCTAGCTGCCGAAGCACGGCATCATGGCTGGAACACAGAAGTCCGACCAGTGGAGGTGGGCTGCAGAGGTTTTGTGGCAACATCTACAACCAGACTGCTTAGAGACCTGGGAATTAAGGGCCAGAGCCAGCGTTCGGCAATCAAAGCTGTATCGGAGGCGGCAGAAGGCAGCAGTCAGTGGCTCTGGATGAAGAGGAAAGACCCCAGCTGGGCCCCAAAGTGAGAGGGCCAGGAGGTATGCAGTCAACAATGCTTGACTCAGGGAGGAGGACGCCCCTGCCATGCATAGTCCCATGGGATGTTGGCTACCAACAACAAGGCAACTCCTATGACTAATTGGGAATGGGACGCAAGCGTAGGATTGATCACCCTGTCGCTGGCCGCCTTTGGGGAGGGTGTATAGTATGAAAGGCCGAAACACCTTAGGAACCAAAGGGTCACTACTGACGATGCGCTCCCCAAATTTCACCAGGCTCACTGTTCATGAACTCTTGGAAGTGCTTGCACAAAGGATAGTAACATCTCATCCTGTGTTCTTAGGAATCTTATGTTAAACTTAAGAACCGGAACTCAAACTACGTCACACATTTATAGAGAATAATACTTCGTCAGGAAGAGGAAGTGCAAATTAAATTTTAATGCAGTCGTTATATTAAAAACGCTTGATAGTTTCGAATAAGAATTTTTAAAACGTAAGTACTATTATTCCTGTCATAGCAATCGACATAATTTTAAATCACACACATTTGTTTATTAAATATACATTTTTAATATCAGTATTACATTGTATACTATTATTATGTTACGATAACATTTATGAACATTTTTAGAGAAAGGTTTTTGGGTACAAAGATATCAAACAGCCATTTTCGGGCATGGAGGGATAATTAATCATGAAGTACCTACTAAATAGACGTCATTCGCCAAGGAGTATAATAGCCAACGCGTCCTCAATGATTAATTTTTCCTCCATTAAATATTAGTTCTTTGTATCCAGAAAATGGCGTCATGCTTCTTTTCGCCATTGTCCTACTATGAACCATGAGTGACTGAATTTAACCATTTAGGATCTTTATTTTAACTATGGAGTTCCCTTATGGAATTTTTTTTTTACTGCTCACGATTCAGTATATCGAGTGCACGATTTAATATTTTACGTGCAAAAAATAAATAGCTTTTTTATTCCATGAAGGAGAATTTTTCTTCTCCATGTGAGAATAGAGAAGCATACATTTTGTAAATGTTTTGAATTGTTATTAAACATTTTGATTCTAATGATTCTACCAGGGCTTTTCATTCTGTGGAATGAATATGTGATTGTTATAATTGTACTCTCCATTTTGCTTCGTTCTACTGCAAAGTTTCAAGTATTTCTTATAGTTATAATTACTTTTAATATTTGATAATTATAATAGAATTTCAATACAATATTCTGAACATCTGCAGTTTTAGTTAGACGATGAATATTTTCAAGTGAATTTTATGCTAAATTTCAACTTTCCAACGCCTTTTTAAGAAATGTTTTCTCCTACAACATAAGAGTGCAGCGCCACATTAAATACACACTACAATGACAATAGTTTAAAGTGATTTGAAGCATGTTTTATTTTCTAAATGGAAATATGGTTTTAGGGGGTGGGGGGCAGAGCTTTGTGACGTCATATTTGAGGGGGGTCTGACTTTTTGTGACGCCGTGTGACGAGGGGGGGAGGGGGGTCAAAATCGGCCAAAATCGCGTGACGTCATTTATGGACGGTCCCCAAATGGGTATTTTAAATGAGGTATATAATTTAAATAGGCCGGTGAGCGGAGCGATTTTATCTGAAAACATGAAGCGAGATCGTTTTAATAAAGGGAGGAGCAACATGGAATGATCTTAAATCAAAGTTTGATTTCGCTCTTGTCCCGTCGAGAAGCACAAGAGAGGAACTTCTCAGGCAGCGTGAGTGTGGCTGGGGGATGAGATGCTCACGTGGGTAACCCGCAGATTTGTTCTTCAGCACCTTAAGGATAAATTATGTTCAGTCATGCTGTCTCCAGACGCCATGGAGAGGTTAAGTGTGGAGTCAAATAAAAGTCTCAGTGGTGTTTTCTATAAGGATCATTCAGTGAAAAACGGAGAGCTGAGTGATACAAGGGGACTAGACGTTTCAGGACAGTCTATGAGGCTGGACCGGTAGATTAC